TGTCTCTCTTTTCCCTGATCTACGGGGCCCGTGAGGGCAGGGACTGTGCGTTTCCTTCACTGCTGCATCTCCGGGGCCTGGTACACGGTAACTGCTCCAGCAATATTTATAAACGGATGAATGGTTTTCCCAGAGGTGACCACGATGGGCCTGGGAAACGCCGGCCTCTTCTCACCCTGCCCGCTTCCCTCCACCCAGCGCCCGGGCTCACCGTATTTCTTATTGAACAGATCCTGGACTTGCTCCCTCAGTGTGTTGGCAATGTCGATCCGGGAGAGTCTGGCATCATAATTTTCTGCAAAGTGAAAAACAATTATGGATTGGGGCTGTTAAAAGGCACTTAGTGACTTTTAAGGAATATGATTTTCTAATTATGGGGACCTCCTTCTCTGGCAATTACCAGATCCTTGGAGCGGGCCCCCCGGGTCCTTCTCAGAGCTAATCTCAACAGAGATGTGTGTTTTTCCGGAAGGACGCACACTGTTACAACAACAGCAATGAGTCGGAAATTGAGTTAATTGTTGACATTTGAAAACCACCACAGTGATAAACAAGCCTGGAGGGGGAGACACCAGGAAGAGAGAGGACTGGTTCCTGCACCACCTGTGCCACAGTGGGCTCAGAGCAGGGACACGTGAGCTCAGGTGACTGGGCGGCCCCCCGAGGGGCAGGGAGCCGGCCTAGCAGCTCTTACCAGATCCTTGGAGCGGGCCCCCCGGGTCCTTCAGAGCTAACATCTCAACAGAGATGTGTGTTTTTCCGGAAGGACGCACACTATTACAACAACAGCAATGAGTCGGAAATTGAGTTAATTGTTGACATTTGAAAACCACCACAGTGATAAATAAGCCTGGAGGGCGAGACACCATGGAGAGAGGACTGGTTCCTGCACCACCTGCGCCAGTGGGCTCGGAGCAGGGACACGCAAGCTCAGGTGACTGGGCGGCACCCCCGAGGGGCAGGGAGCCGGCCTAGCAGCTCTCAGTGGTCACTCACTCCCCCCAAGGGTATGTGTTAAGGAGCCTGTATGCCAGCACGTGCCAGGGGGACCCCTAATGGGCCCCTGCCCATGGGGAGACTGTAGCCTGGCATTGCCTCATGAGAAGGGAAAGTGAGGGAGTGGATCTGGACCCCAGCCCACTAGGAGGACTGGGTAGGAGGAGCCTTGGGGTGCGGTGAGAGGCTCCACTCCCCTCATCACAGAAAGTTCCCGCTGCCCGGGAAGGAGTGAGAGACGGCAGTGAGCAGCCACCCCTCTGGGACCTGGGTCCTATCTCTAGGGCTCCCCCACCTCCAGGGCTGGCCCTCCTGCCACTGGTCTCGCTGACCCGTTTTCTCCTCAGAGCCATAGTGACCACCTAGGAAATGCTCACAGCCATCCCTAGGGCTCCCCAATAGGCACTCCGACGTTGACTGGGCGGCCCCCCGAGGGGCAGGGAGCCGGCCTAGCAGCTCTCAGTGGTCACTCACTCCCCCCAAGGGTATGTGTTAAGGAGCCTGTATGCCAGCACGTGCCAGGGGGACCCCTAATGGGCCCCTGCCCATGGGGAGACTGTAGCCTGGCATTGCCTCATGAGAAGGGAAAGTGAGGGAGTGGATCTGGACCCCAGCCCACTAGGAGGACTGGGTAGGAGGAGCCTTGGGGTGCGGTGAGAGGCTCCACTCCCCTCATCACAGAAAGTTCGCGCTGCCCGCTGCCCGGGAAGGAGTGAGAGACGGCAGTGAGCAGCCACCCCTCTGGGACCTGGGTCCTATCTCTAGGGCTCCCCCACCTCCAGGGCTGGCCCTCCTGCCACTGGTCTCGCTGACCCGTTTTCTCCTCCCCGCCATAGTGACCACCTAGGAAATGCTCACAGCCATCCCTAGGGCTCCCCAATAGGCACTCCGACGTGGTTCCCCTGGACCCCAGCCCACTAGGGGGACTGGGTATGAGGAGCCTTGGGTGCGGTGAGAGACTCCACTCCCCTCATCACAGAAAGTTCCCGCAGCCCGGGAAGGAGTGAGAGACGGCAGTGAGCAGCCACCCCTCTGGGACCTGGGTCCTATCTCTAGGGCTCCCCCACCTCCAGGGCTGGCCCTCCTGCCACTGGTCTCGCTGACCCGTTTTCTCCTCAGAGCCATAGTGACCACCTAGGAAATGCTCACAGCCATCCCTAGGGCTCCCCAATAGGCACTCCGACGTGGTTCCCTTCCCCCCACTGACGCTACACGTGATCTAAAAGGAAAAGCTGAGAAGTGATACCGCACCCTGACAGATGGGAGGGGCAGAGCCTCCCCTCAGAGCCTGGTGGGTCGGTTTCTGTTTCTCAGGTATGGCCCACTCTTCATGCTTCCTCTCCCTCCACACTCACCTCCTCCCATCCCTTCTTGGCTCAGCTACAGCTCCCCTTCTCTAGGGAGCGGGAGCCCTCCTTGCCCTTGCGATACCCCCTCCTCTGACTTCCAAGCATAAGAGCAAGGCTGACTGCCTAATATAGAGTGGGTAGGGCAGCTGGCTTGCCAGGTGGATAGAGGGCGGCTCCTACATCCTATGGAATCCCTCCCCCACCCCCAAACCCCCCGTGGAGTCTCTCACTCAAAGCTGGAAGGCTACAGCCCATCCCCACTGCCAGCTGACCTTACCCAGGCCCCCAGGCCCTGAGGTTGTAGCCAGCCCCACCCCTAGTGTGGGCCTCCACACCCAAGCCAGGTCAAGGTCATGGTGCTGGGACAGTGGACCCCATCCTGAGCTGCAACCTTACCTTGAAAGCCCTGTCTCTTCAGGTTCCTGTCCACAAAAAGGTCCCCTGAATCCCTCTCTGGGGGCAGGTGGGGGGGAGGGGGGAAGAAGCCAGGGTGAGCAGGCAGCTAGCTCCTGAGACCCAGGGACAAAGGTGGAGCAAACCCGATTGGGAGGGCAGTTGGGGAATGTCAGGGGAGGACAGAGGAAGCAGGAGGGGTGGTGGCAGAAACCTGGGACCCCTCCCACGCCCAGCCCGCACCTTAGCCCATGACCCTGTGCAGGGTACCTTGGCTGTCCGTGATGGGCTCTTTGACTCCTTCGGTGAGCAGCTCAGGCCTGGAAAATACAAGTGGGGCTATCACCAAGGTCCCTCCAAGCCTCCTTCATCCTGCACAGACCGCCCCTCTGAGCCTCAGTCTACACATCTGTGCAATGGGCTCTTCTGCCTTTGGACAGACCAGGTCTGGGGTCCCTGCCCTTCTCCTTGCAGCTGTCCTGCTGATCCATGTGTGAGATCTGGGCTGGGTGTGTGTGTGCGTGTGTGTGTGCATGTGCGAGTGCGTCTGTGCTGGGCTCTGAGGATTCAGGCGGGAGTGAGACCAGCCTGGTCCTGGCCTGGTGGGGCTGACACCCTTACTCTCAGTTCCAGGACGCTGCCTGACTGCCACTATCTGGGGTCAGAGCACATGGTCTGGGGAGTCCCCAGAGAACTGGCTGTAAGTGCAGGAGCCACTGGGGATAACTATGTGGCAAGTTCTCGGAGGCATAAGGAAGGCCCGAGTTTCTGGCTGAAACCTGAGAGCTGCCATTTCACTTTGGAGTCAGGGGCCTCGGGGACCAGGCCCAGTTTTCCACTAATGTCTGTATCTCCACAGACTCCACAAAGCCCTTCCCAGACATGAGGCAACAACCCCCGTTCTTGAAGCAGGCACTGTTTCCATCATCCCATTCTCAGGGCCAAGAGACTGAGGCATCGGGAAGGTTGGTAACATGCCCAAGACCCCACAGCTCCAGGGGCAGAGTGCAAATGAAGTGCCCCTCTCCCCGCCATTGCAGCCTCTCCAGCTGAGGGACACCCCCTCCCGATGCGGACCTCTGTTTTCTCATATGAAATGAGAGAGTAACCCTGTCCTGGCTCAGACAGGGGGGAGCAGGCCTTACAAATCCAAGTCTGGGAGACAACGCCGGACTGTGGAAGTTACTTTGGCCTGGGCGTCGGGGGTCACAACTGCTCCTGACCCCCTAGGTGACTGTGGGGACAGCATTCTATCTTCCGAGCCCCAGTCTCCCCCTGAGGAGAAGGGAAGAGGTGGTGGTGGCGGATCTGAATACAGTCTGAGGCCTTTTCCAGCTCCCGAGACTGTGGGCCAAGGCAGGCTGTGCCTCCTCCCTTCCGGGCCCCAGGAGCCCAGCCCTGTGCCAGGGACTGAGCTAATGCCGATGCCTGCTGCCAGGACAGGCATCAAGTCCTCACCCGCTGGCCGCCTGACCTGGGGGCAGAGTGCCCTGGGAGTCTGGCCTCTGGCCTCTGGCCTCACTCCCAGGCAGGGTCTCTGTGTCGCTGCTCGGCCGCCTCTGTGACGGAGAGCTCATCACCTCTGTGGGCAGCCTCCCCACAGCCCCCTCCTCACACTAGACCCTGGTCTGCATCCCTTCCTTCCCTTTGGGAGGTTTGAAGTGGCTGTTACCTGTCCCACTCCTCCAGGCCGTCAGCTCTCCCCTGGCCGGCCTGCCTCCCCAGCACCCTCAGGCTGCCACAGACCCCAGACCCCCACCACCCGGGCAGGCCCGCGCTAGCTGGACCAGGCTGCACTGAAAATGGGGCATTTAGAGTCAGTGCTGTGTGAGAGTTAGTCTGGTCCTTGTCCCAAGTTCCCGGGAGAGAACCTCTAAATCTTTGGAATTTCTGGAATGACAGGAGTGTCTGTTATTCATGGTGAGCCTCTGGGATCACACCTATGTTTACACTAATAAGCTGACTCAGGATTCAGGAAGAGCAAGCATGTGATTAGTGGACTGGGGCTACCAGCCACCTGACATCAGCTCAACCTCCTGACTTCTCGTGGGGGTCGGGGAGGCTGGAGACAGCCAAGCCTACATAATCATCCCAGTACACACTGTGGGCGCTGAAGCTCGGTGCAGAGGCCTGGTTAATAAATCATGTGCTGAGAGCGTGCCATGCCCTGACTTCATGGTAGAGGGTGTGGAGGAAGCTCTGTGCCCAGTGCCCTCCCAGACCTCACCCTTTGTGTCTCTTCAATTGGCTGGTCCTGACTTGTATCCTCTATTTAAAACTGCGATCAGACTACAGCCTCCCCTGAATTCTGTGAGTTGTTCTAGCTAATTATTGAACCTGGGGGAGTCACGGGAAGCCAGTTACTCAGAAGTGTAGGTGGCCCAGGGCCCCTTGGACTTGTGGCTGGTGTCTGAGTGGGGATGCTCTTGTCTTGCTGGGGTCTGTGCCCTGACCCTATGGGGCCTGCTAACTGGGTGGTCAGCATCAGACTGCACCCTGCACCGCAGCACTACATTCAGACAGAACCTCCCCCACCGCTCCCTGGGCCTCAGTCTCCCACCGAGAGACTCCACCCATAGCTTTAAATGGCTAAAAGGGTGTTTAAACTTTGGAGAATTTGATAAAAGCAAGGGACCGTCTCTCCAGAAAAATAGAAAAATTTGCATACAAGTTCAAGGATTTGGGTTAATAATGTTTTTTGACAAAAGGTTTAGAAAGTTTAATTTGATTTTTGTGCCAACTCTAATTACTAGGTAGTGGTTGCATGAAGTATTGCTTAGAAGGCTGTGGAGGTCAGGTTCAGGAAGTGTCAGAAAGTGTCAATGAATTAGTGATGTCTCCTGCAGGTGATAATTTCTCATTTATACAAACATATCTATATTATAAAAGTTCTGTGACCCTAACCCCGTAATGACCAAAGACTGGTGTGGGTGGGCGGGACTGTGAGCACAGCAAGGCGCATGGGTGGGCGGGGCCATGCGATTTCATGCACTGGGCTTCTAGTATGTATGTGTGTGTGTGTGTGTGTGTGTTTGTACATACATATATATATGTGTATACACACACACACACACATACATTCATATGGGCTGAATTGTGTCTCCCCAAACTTCATATGTTGAAGCCCTAACTCTCAGTACTTCAGAATGTGACTATTAGAAAACATTGTCTTTAAAGAGGTGATTAAATTTAAATGAGGACATTCTGACCGGTGCCCTTGAAAGGAGAGGAGATTAGATCGTGCAGAGAGAGGTACCAAGGACGCGTGTGTACAGAGAAAAGACCACCTGAAGATCCAGCGAGGAGGTGGCCATCTATCTGGGAGCCAAGCACTTAGAACCTCATCCTGTATGCCAAAAGGTTGCATGTTCGATTCCTAGGTTGCAGATTTGATCCTGGTTGGGGCGGGTGCAGGAGGCAACCGATCAATGTGTCTCTCTCTCTTCCCCCTTTTCTCTCTCTCTAAAAATCAATAAAATACATACCCTCAGGCAAGGATTAAAAAATAAATAAAGAAAAGAAAATGGCTATATTGTTGAAAAAACGGACTCCTCATACAGGTAACCCTGTAGATAAATCTCAGAAGCGAAGTGAAGGAGGCCGACGCCAAAGGCTGCACACTGTCTCACTCCGTTTACCTGACATCCTCGAAAAGGCAAAATGACAGAGGAATGCTGACCGTGGCTGCCTCGGGGTGAGGGCTGCCCACAAAGCGGGCACAGAAAGTTCTTGGAAACTGCTTTGTATCTTGATTGTGGTAGTGGTTTATGAGACTTAGTTTGTCTAAGTTCAAAGAGTTGTACATTTAAAAAAGGCGAATTTTATTGAATGTAAATTAAACCTCAATCAGCCTGACATTTAAAAAAAAACCCACCAAACCCACACTGACTGGGTTCTTAGCGTGCCAGAAAATCAGTAAAATACATACCCTCAGGTGAGGATTAAAAATAAAGAAAAGAAAATGGCTATAATGTTGAAGAAACGGACTCCTCATACAGGTAACCCCGCAGATAAATCTCAGAAGCGAAGTGAAGGAGGCCGACGCCAAAGGCTGCACACTGTCTCACTCCGTTTACCTGACATCCTCGAAAAGGCAAAATGACAGAGGAATGCTGACCGTGGCTGCCTCGGGGTGAGGGCTGCCCACAAAGCGGGCACAGAAAGTTCTTGGAAACTGCTTTGTATCTTGATTGTGGTAGTGGTTTATGAGACTTAGTTTGTCTAAGTTCAAAGAGTTGTACATTTAAAAAAGGCGAATTTTATTGAATGTAAATTAAACCTCAATCAGCCTGACATTTAAAAAAACCCACCAAACCCACACTGACTGGGTTCTTAGCGTGCCAGGTTCTTCACTAAGCTTTGACCTCTACTGCTATCCCATGAAGTGGCACAGTGCACCCCATGTAACACCCCAAGGACCCTGCTGAAGGTCACAGGGAGTAACGACTAAGATCCAGGAGACCACCTCTCACTGCCACAGAGCCACCAGCCTCACGTGTTTCTCAATATAAAACAGCATTAAACAATGCTCAGGTGCCCTGGTTGGGTAGCTTGGTTGGTTAGAGTATCGTCCCAATATGCCAAGATTGTGGGTTCTATCCCTGGGTCAGGGCACATACAAGAACCAACCAGTGAATGCACAGATAAGTGGAACAACAAGAAATATTTCTCTCTGTGTGTCTCCCACTCTCTCTTCCCCTTCCTTCCTCTCTCTAAAATCAATAAATTAGAAAACCCAACTGCTTAGGAGCACAGGGGAGAGACTGCTTCTGCAGGTGAACAGCAAGAAA